AGAATTGGTCCTGTTGTAGCCAAAACCAGAACACATACCTAGAGATATAAAGAAAGAACTTAAAAATGGCCGCTGTAGGTCACACCACAGGCTGTCTAGACCAGTATCCTGTTTCTAAGAGCAGCCAGTAAAAGATCTCAGAGAGAAACGTAAGCCTGGGATAGGTACAGGGTAGTCCTTCACCTGATATACATCCTCCCAGCTCTGGCAAGCAGCAGTAGAAGACTTCCTGAAACAAAACCACAGATCCTCTTGTTCAGTAACTACCAATGAAACCATCCTACCCTCATTTCTGTGGTCCTTTTTGAATATATTTGTAGTTTTGGCCCATGGCAATCACTGTACCTCTGGACTTTATCTACAACTGTCCTATGTGTATAATTTTTGCATACGTTATTATATATGCACATCTCTATTATTTACATTATACTTACATATACACACCAGAGCAATGCCATAAATCATTTTGGTTGCACTAACCGTAATTCATAGCTAATAAATGGAGATGATACTGATTTCTAGCCTTCATAAGAGTCAATTTCAGCCGTTGTAATAAGGTGTCAGAAACAGAATAGCCCAAGTTAAAAATTTACCTAACTGAAGAAGACTCCCTGTGTACCTTTCTACACATACTTAGCAAACCGAGAGTTTGGTGTGATGTGCATAGTACTTGAAAAGAGATTCTCTCATGTTTGCCCCTACTCAAGCAACGTGTAGGTTCCCCCTTGAGAAGTGGATTGTGCAGCGGTGCAGCTGTCCTGCCCTGAGATACGGGACGGGCTGGACCGTGGGAGCCCCAGCCAGGGCATGGGGATGCTCAGACACTTAAAACTTTGTGACTGGCCTCGTCACAAGCTGATGCAGCTTATTAAGTCATACCCATACGTGTGTGGTGCATTTTGTTCCAGTCTTTTGTAAATGTCAGGCCAGCTGAGTGGGGAGGGAGAAAAGCCAGGGGACTTGGGAAGGTTATGATAAGAATCCTTTGAAGAGTGGGTAGAGCCATTCCACAAAAACCCTGGTCCTGTGAAAAGGTATAAACAACTCCTTCTCAAATTAATAATGGGAAACAGTAATATAGAATTAGGTTGAAAATGCAGGCTAATCTGAAAGAAATGTAGCTAAAACATAATATTAGTATCTTGGAGAAGTGGTTTCTGCTCAGCTGACTGGGCTTGAATAGACTTTCAACCGTTGGTTAGAAAAGGCAGTGACAATACAGGAAAAGCAGTCTTTCAACAGCAAATGTGATTTTTAAGTATCCTGTTTAGGGACATTCACTGGCAAGTTTGGCTTATATTATTTTATCTGAAATTGATCCCAGATTGTTTCCAAAGATTTTAGTAGTGTACAATACATGGATGCCAATAAAAATAACAATGCTGGAAAAAAATTGCGCTGAAAACATTTTTAGTCAAAAATTTAGATTCAGTGAATAGTCTTTAAAACAGTAAATTATATTTGTCTCAAGATTAGTACTTTAACATGAGCTTGAAACTGAAAAAAAAGAAGGTTCTAGGGTTTGGGGGTTTTAAGTAGCCGAGCCCCAGAACTGCTGGCACTAATCAGGAGAATGATCAAACGAAAGTAAGTTTTAACATAGCTGGCAGTCGTCTGTCACTGAGACAGCAGTAACTGAGACAAAGGGTTATCTGTTTCTGGTGTCTCTTTGCTCTTGATTGTACAATTAAATTAGAACTTTACATTTGAATCATCTGGAAAAAAAGGTTTGGCAAAACGAGGTCAGTCAGTATTTAACAAAGATGCAAAGCATTTGACAGCTTCTGAAGTGCATGTGTGAGGAGAGTCATGTTTCAGGAAGACAGGTGTTATCACCAAGGAGTTCAGAACTTCCAATATTTATCTTCAAGCTAAATCCATCTTTTATGATGCAAGACATTTTTTTGTAATCTATAGGATAATTTCCACAAGAGTCTATTGCATGTGAGGCACCATAATTTTCCACAGAAATAGAAGTGCCTCATTCAAGTCTCCAGCACTACAAAGACAGTAGAAGTGTCGAAGGTGACAGTAGGGATCTGGAGGTCACATTTCTCCTGTGAGGAGCACAACAGCATTCCTTGTTATGTGATGCAGACTTTGCTTCTAACTTTCATTGGCCATTAAAATGAAAAACAAAAGTTTTGTTCTTGCTTGATAACCATTGTCTTAAGTCTCTGTAGTCTTAAAGTCACAGTTAACTTAAATTCTGGTTGATACATTTGGCTCATCCAACTTTATTTCTGCTTCTTTTGACTGAAAGCAGCACACAATTCAATGTTGCTCAGCCAGGTACAATCCTGCCTTGTAGTTCCCCAAAACTCCACATCAAACCTAGTACCAGAAAAAGTTATACTGCTTTTTTTTAAAAAAAAAGAAAAGGAAACTCTCTTTTACTGAAAGTTATTTATGAGTTTGCTAAGAAAACAAATGGCATTGATCTAAATAAAATGTTGGTTTTTAACTTCAGTAATACAGAGTTGAGATCTATCTTTGGCTCTTAAATGAAAGGTAATAGTTTAGAAGGCTGGAATGATCACCTACAACACCTGTAATAGAAAACAGGTTTCAGAAATCTATGAAAGAATGCGTTACAACTTAAAACTTTAATATAGATGTATATCAGCTAGAACTAGGAAAATATGTTTGGGGCATCAGTTATGACAGTTCTACTTTGCAGTCTTCCTTAAAAGCATCATTTCTAATTAAAGTGTTATTTTTCAGGTATCTAACATTGTGTAGTTAAACCAAATGCTCAATGACTAAGAATAGATGACTGGATTGAAAGAAATGTAGATCCCCTTCCACTGTGAATTAAAGCTGACGTTTCCTCTGCACGTAGTTAATAGCAAGTCTTCCTCTCTTCAAGTTATTATTCTTTTCCAAATGCATATGTCAAGTGCAGTGGTTTGAGTGGCCCAGGGAGTGTCACAGATGGGAGATTTCTTGATAGTCTAAGTAAAAAAACAGGTTTTTTTTCCTCACAGTCCTGAAGTCTACGTTATAGCAATCCACAGTAGGTGTGACAGAGGCATCCCGTCATGCAGCCTTTAAAACAAACCTATGCTACTCAATTTTAAAAAAAATTAAAAAGTGAGGGGAAGCAGAGCTGAGAAGCCCAGTCTGCAAGCCAGCCCACAGACTTTTCCCTGCATGGGTTAGCTCCCCTCCAGCCTAGGCAATCAGATGGCTCAGGGCAATTAGTCTTAATAAGGCAGCAGAGTGTTGCTAGGTGGTAATAGCTGATTCTACTAATTGTTGGCAGCAGGTTCAGGGATTCTGGCTGCTTGCGTTTAAGAGGGGAGTCATACGACTTCACGCTCAGTTGTTGCTTGTTAACTTGACCTTTCCTCTTCCCTCCTCCACGTATTTTAGAAGTGTGGGAAACCAGGCAGCGCAGCAGCTTTGGTTTGATTCTTCCTATAGCAGCAAGCAAAGAGCAGAAACTTACAGAACTGGCAGCACTCTGGGATGATGGATACCTCAGTTTGCTTTTTTTCTTTGGGTAACAATTAGTTGGATGCAAGAAAGTTCTTGGATGCCTATGTGCTCAGCCCTATCCTGGCTGGTCTTCAGCATGGCCAAAGAGCAACTGCATCCGTGGAGTGTAATTCCCCGGTTGAGGTGGGTGCCGCTGAAGCAGCTCCTCCCAGCAAGTAACACTGCCATGCTGGAAGGGATGCAGGGGTACAGGGTGCTCCGAGGGGCATCGCCCCAGTTGGGGTGTTTCAAGGGTGCAGTCAAACCGGGGCCGCGGGAACTGTACACACAGGCATTGTCTTAAATGAGTGTAAGCCTTCCCAAAAACCAAAGGTGACAGTCAGGCAGAGTTTGTCTAGGTTATCTGAGGGTAGGGAGATGACAGCCTGTGGTCTTGGACCAGGATTCAGCTCTGAGACTGGGGAGGTGAAAGAAGCGAAAAAAAAAAAAAAAATGTTGTTATGTCCTATTACATTCCCTTATTTTTCTTGGTCAGAGTGTAGGGTTGCAAAAGTCCGTCCTGGTGTATTTAGGCAAAAGGAGAAGGGGGCTATTTAAGTTGGCTAACGAACAGAATTGCTGTCAAAAGTAATTTAGATATTGAGTAGATGATCCTGAGTTCTGAGTCTGTCAGCTTTTCCAAGGAAAAGGATTTGGTCTTTGCCTGGTTGGAAAGTTTTGGTGTTGGTTTTATTTGTTTCTCCCCCCCCCAGTATCTGTGATTTCTATTAGAGAAACAAATAAAAAACCCAAAAAACACCCAAAGAAATACCAAAGCAGCATTTCAGTGATTGTGTGAATTCAAAAGCAACAGAATGTACTGCAGAAAGTACTGTAATAGGAAATCAATCCAATTTGCACTCTCACCTTTGCACTGATTTTGAGCATGAAATTTCAAGAAAAATACTGACAAGATGATCAAAATGCAAATTAGATCTAGGTTACTGGCAATGTTTAGAGTTTCAGCAGTCATTAGAGATGACAGGATTACAAAGGAGGATGGGGAAGCCTTAAGGAGAAAATAGTGTTCAGTCCCTCTTGGAGAAGTGGAAGCCGTGCATCGCATCCAAGAGGAGAGGCAGCAGGACCGCGGCTGCAGCTGTGGGACTGGGAGGAAAGGAGCCAGAGGTTAACAGTGCCCGGAGAGGGGGGTCCTGACTCTGGTTCCCCACTTGGCCGTGATGGCGTGGACTCCTTGCTCTGCTACCTGCCCGAAAGGTTTGGGTGTGTTTGGTTCTTTTTAAATCCAGCACTCATCTACTGCAAAAGCCATACACTGCCCAAACCAAGGATCAGATGCTGTAACTCCTCTGAGAGTGTCCCTGTTGCTAGGGGATGGTCGTCTCGTTCACACTGTGTACGTTGTTGTGGATAACTGAGGACTGTTCGCTGGAGCAGTGCTCTGCTGGGCTGCTGCTTTGCAGCATGGAGATGCTTTTGTGAATTAGAATTGTGTCAGAAGTTCCTGAACAAGTGATGTTTCTGAGGCATTCAGGGGTAGAAAGTACTCTGTGAACTAAAGAAGTGATGATTGGCAAATGCATTGTGCGTTAGGATAGTAATATAAAGTCAACAGACACAAGATACTCTATTTATTATAATTTACAGACAACCTAGAAAGCTAGGTTTCTATTCCCCAGGAATTTTTTCCGACCTAACTTTGATTCGGCTTAATTGGAAGCAACCAAACAAAAAGACCTCAAAATTTGTTGCAGCCTGAGTCACTGAAGCCTGCCGATGCTCGATGATACTGATACTCCTCTTGCTTTCGCTGAGCAGCTGCGGGCAGCTTCCCGTGCCCTGACTCCGAGGGAAATTTGGCAGTTTAGTTTTCTTTTTTCTTGTCCGCTCTGCATTCAAACTGTAGAAGTTGAGAAGTCAACCTGGGATCAGTAGGAGGTAAAACTATGATTTTGCACTCATGCTTTAATTCGTTTGTTAATAAATGTGTTAGAATGCAAGCTACCTCCTACTCAGATGAGATTAGCTCCTCTGTTCACAGCAGGGATCAAAAACTGTAGAACAAGAGGACTCTAGGGCTGATCTTAGCTAGGAAACCAAGAGGCGCAAGGTCCTTAACTATAGAAATGCAGACCAAATCCTCAAATCCAAAAGGTGGCTAAAAAGCACGCATTTTAGGCTTACGTTACAGCACTTCCAACCAGCTCTAGACATCATGTGGTATGGCAAGTCTGTATCTGTACCGTGGATACCTGCCTAATCCTTGACTTTATTCCTTTTATTCCTCCCTAGAACGTTTCAGTGCTAGAAAATCATCACTGGCGATCTACGATAGGCATGCTTCGAGAGTCACGGCTCCTCGCCCATCTGCCCAAGGAGGTGACGTAAGTGTCTGCTGGAGGAATTGCATCACTGAAACTAGCCCATGGCTTCCTTCGCTCTTCTTAAAAGGACACTGGGAAAGAGGCCCAGGCTTCAGAGTAGGCTGAACTTTCTGCCCTCGCTTGGGGCCAGTATGAAATCATGAGATAAAGTTACACAACAGAAGTATTTAGAAGTATTTTCTAAGACCTTGCCACTTCTGCAGCGCAGGAATGACCCCTGTCAGCACCAGGAATGCTGGGAGTCCCAGCAGGA